TCTGCTCATATGCTCCATCAAAAGCCAGAGAGCTCGGATGTGAAAGGTACGCTTGTGTTGTAGTAATTGTATTTAACACAATCCATCACACGTGGTCCGCTGGCTTCCTCATGAGGTTGTTGAAGCGGCAGCAGCTGAGAAAAAGTGGGCAGGAATATTTTCCATTCTGAACGTGATTTTCTGCCGACAGATTGTGTTGCTGCTCCACCAGCTGACATCTACAAGGGCGTGCATGGGTAAGTAATAGATTACCTGCCAATGGGCCAATAACTAATACTATGAACTCAGCCATGAATGGAAGGTCAAACAGAGCCTGTGTGCTCCACTCTCCCTTTGGGGTTTGGACCATTGAGCTTCATCACGGTCTCCTCAACGTGCTTCTCATTACTCTCTGCTCCTCCCCTTTGGCAACACACACACACACACACACACACAGTAAACGAGTGTGTGTTTCCCATTAGGAGGCGCTGCCTCTGCTCCTCCACACAGAGCTGGGTGGAGGAGATGGAGCTCCCTCGTTATGAACCACTGCTGAAGGGAATCTTCAGCGCCGTGTGTGATGAGAAGGATGAAAGGCGGATGGCACTTTCTGCATGTACTCAGGTGTATTACCGATGGTGTCAAGGTGCAACAACTAAAGATGCCCCTCACAGCAGCTTTGTCCACTTTTGTCTGGCCTTGGTATGGATACAGATCCGTTCTGACAATCTGGCCCCTTGTTTTTTATGGATTAACTTTCCTGTTCTGCCTTTAAAATTCCCCCCAAATAGGTGCACGAAAAAGAAGCTTCCGAGTAACATTTAAAGCAACCAATAACACGTTGTCTTTGTTTTTTTATTGTTTCAGCCAGCTGGAAGCGAAATGGGGGACAGCGAGTTTACGTAGAACTTCCACCACATCGTTCTCACATCAGACAAACGTTCCTCTGGCCCCAAAGAGCAGAGGAACCTTTGCCCTGCAGCCCTGGTTCCTGCAAACCTCTAAAGTCTGTATGGATCCACTAAGATGTGGACACCAGTTGAGTGAACTAGTAAAACCATGATGTTCTTCCCTTGATCCAGTTTCCCTCTCCCGTCTTCTCCAGGCAGCTCTGCTGCTCCTCTTTAAGAGACAGTCAGTGGAAACAGACGGCTCATATTTGGGGATTTCATGCTTTCTGCTCAGTCTGAGATGATGCTGCTTTCCCCTCTTAAAGATCTTCTCTTTACTCTTGGGGACAGTCAAGGCGCTGTGACACCTGGCAGCATTGTTAGTACTAATGTGTACATTTCTGTGTACAACTTCGATCTTGAATTACTAATGAAGTAAATGTCCCTTTTTAGGCCCATAGTCGCTTTCTCGATAATCAGTATCAGAAAAAATTGATGTTTTCCGGAAGATGTAAATTAGGATGTTTGATCAATCAATAATAATTGTGAGCCGTCACTATTTTAAACATGGGATGAGTGTTGAGGGAACAAAGTGCTTGTTTAGTGGATCGTGTCGTGGGTTAAATGAACTATGTTTGATGACATCCATTGAGATGTGGTGACGTTTTTTCAAGCAAAAATAACCATGTACTGTGAATAGGTCACCATCTTGGTCTTGGTTTGTCACCATCTTGGATCGGGTGGTGCTTTTGGGGGAGTTGGGTGCTGACACCATTACAGGTACTTTGCCGGGTGAGGTTGCAGTGTTGCAGTATCCTTTTTATTGTTCAGGGATGATTTGTGATCATAAGTCTTCAGGCTTCTTCTAGTTTCTCCGGCAAAGTTCTTCTCTCGTACCGAGTTCGGGTCAGGTCTTCTTGAAGGACGCTGCCGGTGGTCTCCCCCTGACGAGAGCGCAGCGAAGGACGAGCCCACATCTCAAAGTATTTTAGGACGCTGAAATGATCTGGGACTGATTAGCTTCATCAGTGGTTCCTCAGTGGTTCCTCAGTGGTTCCTCAGTGGTTCATCAGTGGTTCCTCAGTGGTTCATCAGTGGTTCCTCAGTGGTTCATCAGTGGTTCATCAGTGGTTCATCAGTGGTTCCTCAGTGGTTCATCAGTGGTTGGCTAACTGCTTCTTGGGACCGAACTCAGAGGACATGAAGACAGAGAGGACGTGCAGGAAAAGCATATATATCTTAATTTACATATATTACTGGGTATATAATCCACGTTTCAAAAACACAGACACATATTGACTAGTTGGAAAATGTGTTTTTAATATCATTTATAACGAGGCTGAAGAATGAAGACTTGATGAAGATGATGAATCTGTGAAGGTACTAGAGGTAGAGAGACATCGACGTTTAAAAGAGACGATACGCTTATATATGTTTCCTTGTGCTTATTGGATAGAAAGAGGAAAGTTAATCCAAACAGCATGATTGACAGACCTGAACAATGACAGCCAGGCAAAGGCGGGTGTTTGAGAAATGAACTGTCACGTAGGCCGTCTGATCTGAGCAGGGTGGCGTCCCACCTGCACGGCGCACCTGTAAAAGGTGTCTTGGTCGTGGCAGCTTAAGAACAGGGCAGCATGGCGGTAACAGACTTTTTCAAGAGCTGTCAATCGGACTCGCTGCTTTCATGGAGACGGCTGAGAAAAGCAGCGAGAGAGAGAGACAGAATGGGGCAGATGGGGGAGTGAAGACATGGACGGGAACTGTAAAGGATGATGATGCCCCCCCACCCCTGTGATTGACACCAGGTTCGGAGGTGCTCCCTCTCTGCCTCTCCAGAGAATAGCTTAGCGTGCGATCTTTGATAACGCCGTCAAACACCTTCACACACCTTCATGATGATTTGTGCGAAAGAATTGACAACGGCTCCTGATCTCCAGTGGACAGAAGGTCACGTGTCCAGAGGTCAAGCAGGCCTGATGCAAAGGACACGTGAGTACATGCGTGTGTGAGCGTTGTCTGCGGCAGCAGGGAAGGAGATCGAACCGGAGCGAACGAGTGAGAGACGTATAAGACGACACGTCAGTCACCCACCGGTGGAGACAGGAAGGTGCAGCTCACAGCGGGAAGCAGCAAGGTGCCGTCTCATTTGGCACCTCGAGGCAGGGATTCAACAATGAGGAGAAAACCGGGGTCTTTGGGGGGGCGCAGGGCCTGTTCATAGGCTCAAAGGCTCAGGTTGGGTGCGCTGGCATGTTCAAAGGAACACGGTGTCACTAATGAGTCATTTTAGGCTCAAATATTCCTTTGGTAACATATCCAGTGTACTTGTGCTATTTCCATGTGATGATACTTTATACTTCTTACCAAGATATCCAGCACTTCTCATCACGCTCCATTAACATTACTGCATCACTGAATGATGTTCACATGGCATTTAAATGCAGCATTTAGCAGTGAGCTTGACTATGGTCCTTTAACGTCGTCTCTGCGGACGTGAGCTCAGCTGGTTTTGTGTTGGAACAGCATTCTCACTTCCTCGGCGTCACACCGGGTCTGGTGAGGTGTTCCAGGTCCACACAGGACCACGAGGCAGAAGGAGCTCAGCAATCATTTCCAACATGGCCTTCTTCAGTCAAGGGTTTGAACCGCCTTTGTTCGGAATTAATTGCATTATAATACATAAAGTGTAGTTTCTCTTTCTAAAATAATACATATATATATATATATGTGTGTACAGAGTATATGACCTTACCTGTCCAGGTCCAGGTCAGGGTGCTGGGTGCACACAGTTGGACGCATCATGAGCGAACATGCTGTCGTTAGTGAACGTGGAGTCGGATCCTCTGATCAGAGCGGTTTTACTTTCCTCTTGAATTCTGCTCGCCATCTCTCCGTGACGCCATGATGTTTTCCACCGAGCGGTAGGAGGCATAGTGCCGAGGAGGCCGTTTCTTTGACTGTTTGAATCCAGCCGGTCTCTCTCTCTTCTGCAGCTCACAACCAGGCCGAGCAGCTTGTTTGTTTATCTGCTTTTCTCCTGTTTTGTGTGTTGCTTTTGTTATTTTGTCTGTAAGTAAGTTTGAACATTTTGTAGATGATTTGTTCCTTGTTTTGAGCCACGCTCAGCCTGACGCTTGTATATCCGTTTCTCTCATTGAGAGAAGCTCTGGAATCTATTGAAATACTGGGAACATTGACCAACTGATGACTGGCATGATATCTAAAGATAAATATAAATATATATATATATAAAGTACATTCATTATTTGAATAATCCTGCACCTCTTGAATCATATATAGCGTTACTGGCCCATCCTGCTGGTAAGTAACATATAAAGCAGTTTGCATTGAGCAGATACACCATTGGTCAAAGGCAACTTCTATTGTTCAAAAATGCTTTAAAATGTATTTTTTGCTGAAAAAAAGGAATAAATCAAGTTTGTTGAATATGAAATAGAAACTAGTTTTGAAATACTTTACTTAATTTGAATGATATTATCTGAAAAGCACACTATCTACAGTATAAAAATCCGTTTGAAGTTTGACTGACAAACACTGATCACGGACGCACTGAATGCTGTAGTTTGGGTGGATGTTGACTTTAGAAACATTTACTTATTCCCTCTTTTCTATTCTCTGGAGGTTCTATTGCTCATGAACGAAGCAAAGGTTTATCTGATGACTCAATGATCATTGGACCAATAATCCATAACTGCAGCCTCGATGCAGAATATGTCACCACAGTGACCACACAGCGAGGACAGAGACTGCTCTGAGGACAGAGGACAGGACACTGGGTGGCTTTTACTCAAGAGACTTTTCAGAGGGTCAAATGTCTACTGCATGATGGTCTGTGGTCTGACCCCCCCCCGGTCAGCAGAACACGGTCCTCCTGCACAAAGCTCACTTTATGATAATTAGTGACTTCTATTGAGCGTCTGTCTAGTTCAGCATTTCCCCTTCGTGCTGCTTCCCTCCATCTTTTCAGCTACAAAGCACAACATTGAACCGTTGTGTCCAGTGAGGACAGGTGAGTCCACCAACAGAGGACAACGGCTGCGAGAGAGAAGAGAGACTTCTAACACTCTCTTCACCCAATTAAAGGGAAAAAAGACATTTTACAACAGCTTTACAGTCGCATTGGTGAGATTGTTTTTATTCTCATAAAGCAATCGATCAATGTAGTGGAGATAGAAGATGCTTTTTTCTATAAATATAAAAGTTCTCTTTGTAGCAAATGCAAAAAGGAAATTACTTCAAAGCTGCAACAATTGTAGAAAGCACAAAGTATTATTATGACAACACGTCCTGATGTGCACTGACAGCAGCCGCTCCTCACGGGGCCTCCCCCCCCCACGGGGCCCCCTCATGGGGCCTCACCCCCCCACGGGGCCCCCTCATGGGGCCTCCTCTCCTCACAGGCCTCCCCCCCTCACGGGGCCCCCAGGGGCCCCTCCAGGTACTGGAAGCTGCTCAGCCCCCCTTTTTGCTTCGCAGGAGCAACCCAACAACCATCAGTGACACATTCAAGCTGCACGTTGAGTTAAACGGTTTGTTTCTCAATGAATCAAAAATAAGCTTTGTTACAAACATTCCTGATATGTGCTTGACCTGTGACCCCGGCTATCGGCTGTAGATAGAATACAAATGTTGCAGTAATTATTAAATGTATTACATCCCTTTGATACAACAATGACACAATGAAACGCATCGCGGTGCGTTCGCTGTCCTACGTTCCCTTGGAGGTTGGAGGCATTTCATTAATCTTACATCGGCCTTTTAAATTAAACCCGAGGTCCAAACGACTGAACTCACCTTCCACCTGTCGGCTTCCGGCTTTCTGGATTGTTTTGGTGTGAGTTGCCGATTGTATGAGACACTGATTGTTGTATGTTGGCAACATGTTTACAGCTTATTAAATGTAGATTGGATATTTCAGGGAGAACTGTCAGTTTAAGTAACTCTGCCGAACATGCGGCTCAATAAGAAGACGACTCTCCAGGAACAGCAAGACACAAATGACACACAAGTCCAAATACAACGCACAAACCCGCGTGCCCCTTTGACCCCTTTGCCCCGGCAGGACCACGCGGGATTCTTTTGGAACGGAATGATAGAACCGTCGCGCCGAGCTACAGGCAACAAGCATCCGTGGTCCCGCACTGCGGCCCCCCACGCCGACACAAAGGAGAGTCAGGGGGAGGAGGGGGGGAGGGGGGGGACACGAAAGCACTTGGGTTTCACAGGACTCTGCTTAGAATGGAGCCACTGTGCGCGCAGTGAGGTCACAGGTCAGCCGGCTCCTTGTGAGTACAATTCCATCAAGTCCAAAGTGTGAAAGAAGTTGTTTTTACAAAAAAAAAATGTTACAAAAATATTTAAATACAAATATATTCTTACAAAAATCTCACAAATGTATATGTACATAAAAAAAAAACGGACCAAGTATCTTCTGTAAGAAAATAATGTGGAGTGGTTTCTCATTGGCTTGGGGGGAGTCGGGGACGGACCTCGTCCTGTTGGGGGTCTAGACCGCATCACACCGTGGTCTCGCCCTGTTTACTGTTGGCCAACCTCGTGTAAAACCTCCGCCACGAGTTGAGGGTCTTCCCGGACCAGATCCAGAAGCCGGAGGTGATGCCCACGATCAGCGTCATGAGGTACTTGATCATGAAGACGGTGAAGTCGGGACTGGCGTTGGGGTGGCTCTGGGCAGGACACTGCACGGCGAACGCCTTGCACGTCTGGCCCACCCACGTCCTCTCCCACTGCTCCCGGAAGGCCTGCTCGTAGAAGTAACAGGCGATGACGATGGTGGCCGGCACGGTGTACAGCACGCTGAAGATCCCGATACGCACCATCAGCTTCTCCAGCTTCTCCGTCTTGGTGCCGTCGTGCTTCATGATGGTGCGGATGCGAAACAGGGACACGAAGCCCGCCAGGAGGAAAGAGGTCCCGATGAAGAGGTAGACGAACAGCGGCGCCAGGACGAATCCCCGCAGCGCGTCCACGCTGTTGATGCCCACGAAGCAAACCCCGCTCAGGACGTCTCCGTCCACCTGCCCCACGGCCAGGATGGTGATGGTCTTGATGGCGGGCACGGCCCAGGCCGCCAGGTGGAAGTACTGAGAGTTCGCTTCGATGGCCTCGTGGCCCCACTTCATCCCCGCCGCCAGGAACCAGGTGAGGGCCAGGATGACCCACCAGATGGAGCTGGCCATGCTGAAGAAGTAGAGCATCATGAAGAGGATGGTGCAGCCCTCCTTCTTCGTGCCCTGCACCACGGTCCTCATGTCGTTGTCGAAGAGGTCGTTGCACACCACCTTGTCCTCCAGCAGGAACCCGGCCATGTAGGCGACGGACACCATGGTGTAGCAGCCCGACAGGAACACGATGGGCCGCTCCGGGTAGCTGAAGCGCTTCATGTCCACCAGGTAGGTCAGCACCGTAAATAAGGTGGAGGCGCAGCACAACACCGACCAGATGCCGATCCAGATGCGGGAGAACCTGAGCTCCTCCTCGCTGAAGTACATCATCCCGTGGGACCGCGAGGGCTCGCACGGAGCGCCGCAGTCGTCCAGGCCCAGGAAGCGGTATTTCAGGTAGTGAGGCACGCTGAGCGACGGCGGGCACCTCGGCTGACCGGCCGCGCGGTCGGGGCGCACGGTGGGGTCCGGGCCGAGACCGGGGCCGGCCGGTTCGGCGCGGTCCGACATGTTTTGGCCCACGCACAGCTCCCCGGCGCCGTGGACCGGGAAGGTCTCGCACGCGAGGCTGTCGGGCCACTGGAAGCCGAACTTGTTCATGAGCGCCTCGCAGCCCTGGCGCGCGCGCTCGCACAGAGAGCGGCACGGGGGCAGCGCCTGCTCCATCACCGTGCACACGGGCGCGTACATGGAGCAGAGGAAGAACTTTAAATCCGGGGAGCACTGGACCTTGACCAGCGGGTAGAACTGGTGGACCTCCAGGCCCGCGTCCTCCTGGTTGGTGTGACCCAGCAGGTTGGGCATGATGGTCTCGTTGTACGCGATGTCCGTGCACAGCGGGATGGAGATCGGCTGGCAGAAGCCGTGCTCCGGCACGGACATCCCCCGGTCCCCGCCGCCGTACTGCCCGCCGACGCGCGGAACCGCCCCGCCGAGGACGAGGAGGGCGAGCAGCGGCGTCAGCCCGCGGGGGCTCATGGCGGCAGCGGAGCGCACTTTGTGCCGCACTTCGCCAAGTTGCGCGAGCCGCGCTCTTTGTTGCCGCTCCTCTGCGGGCGGAGCGCGGCTTCTTCCAGCCGGAGTCCGCGCTTCGTTCCCTCCGGCGCGAGGCCACACGAGCACGCGGGCCGAAAGCTGGTTCCGATGACGAGGCGGTTCCCTCCGGTACAAAACGCGCCGTGGTCCCGCAGCACCGGGTCCGCCGCAGTGCTCCTCTGTCCGACGCAGCGTCCGTCTGCCGCGCGCCGCCGATCCGCTTCCTCTCGGCTCTGCGAGTCAAGCGCGCGCCGCGCACGAGCACTTCCGAGTCCAGACCTTCAACATAAAAGCCTCTGGAGAGGCGCTCTGTAGAATCCAGGCAACGAACAGAACGAAGGAAACGGAGCTCACTAAACTACAGCTGAGCGACGTCTGGCTTATTAGTCGGATAGTAAGAAGTAAAATGACAAATACAATGTTCTTAAAACAAAAACAATTCAGGTTCAATGTCCTATTAGATATTTAAATTCGGTGATGAAAAAATCAGCATTGTGACAAATATTTCACCACAATACATGGTAGCTAGTTAATTAAATCACCAAACATCCGCTTTATTAGTCTCACTACAACGGGATTTATCCAGTTAGATACACACGTCTGCACTGGGGTACTTCCGGTCTGTTCTCTCTCTCTCTCTCCCCCCCCTGTGGTCGGTTGGATTGCAGAGGTTCATCTCAGTTCACCTCCTCACTAGTCATGAATGCAGATGTTGTTCTGCTCAGAATGTGCAGTAAATGAACTGAAGCATTCGGAGTCACTAGTGGATTTACTTTTTTACACGACACGATTCACATCTATTGATTGTGCTCACAGCTGCACTCCCATCTAAACATGAGGCTACGCACCAACAACCCGCCTCACCACATAACGCGGACTGGTCACCAATAGGTGATCCAACGATCACATTTGAACAAACCGTTGAAAGCATCAAAACATAAGAGTAAGGATATTTTTAGACAAGAACATTGATCGAAACATTAAAAACAATAACAAAGTTAAAAATAGAATAAAAGTTGCAATGCAGTTTAAGAATAAAAACAGTAGAATGCAGCAGTGAAATGGAGGAAGTTGATGAACGTCTTGAATCAGGTTTAATTAAACAGCACCTTCAGCTTCCGGAGGGTTTGTTACAAATATCTCAGCTTTATAAACCAGCAGAAGGGTTTTAAAATAATGTCTTTGTTGTACAGGAAGCCAGTGAGTGCAAAGACCTCCGAGCAGGAGTCATGTGATCAACGTACGTTACAATCAGGGGCGGCTGTAGGCCGACGGGGCCCCGCCCCCATCGCCAGCCCCGCCCATATTCAAAGCTTCACACAACACGTTCAATTTACTCTAAAACCAAAAGTCAATAATCAGCCACTTGTTTGAGGTGTTGTTAAATGTCAATCAGTCGAGCCCGGACATGTCGAGCTCAAGGCCGCGTCCGGCCCGGAGTACCATCACATCCGACCCGCAGGTCCACATCCTGTCTGTCACAACACGGCCGACACTAAAGGTCACAGAAGGCCCTGCAGACGCTGCCAGCGACTATCGTCTTCTGGGGTAGAGGAGGAGACGCACACCACGGCTCCGGCCCACTCAGCTCGCAGACGCAGCCGTTATGGAGCACAAGAATCAGCACCGGCACCGAAATGTAAATCCTTTGTCTGATTTCTGGAGGAAGGTGCACTAAAATATTTTAAAAACTCTTGACTTATTTCTTATAGTCTATAATATACTCACACTAATTCCAGTGTCTTTATTGATTGTTCTTTCTCTGCTGTGTAGATATACGTGTATATATCTGATAGCAGCCCACCGTAGTAAACTATACTTACCTCAGACAGTTACACATGGAACCAGTATCATTGGTTCCACGTGTCCAACTGGGAACATTGGTGGATCCAAATGTTAAAGAAGGCCTCTGACTGGTCAACGCGCTGCCCTGGGGCGGTGTGACGCCCACGTCGCCCCCGGTAACAATAGTCCAGTCTACTGAAGGTGAACGCACGGACAAATCTTTACAAATCCTGTCGAGACTTACGTCCTTGAATATGTGTTCTTAAAAAAAACAACAATACGCTGATTTTGTCGACATGCGGTTGTTTTTGCTCAATGCATTAAGCCGACCCGATGAAGGTATGTAAGCCTGACTGGACAACATGGAAACATTATTTACGACCAACAAATAAAGCAAATCACATTGTTATCACAGTTACAAGTGTTGTCCTAATGTGTAGATGACGAGTTAACCTCAGTATCTGGGTCCTTTCTGTCGTATGAATTGTGTCGGGCTCATCTTGTACACATGATATCATCCTGTCCGACAGGGATCCTCCTCCCCAAAGGCTTCATCCGTTTCTCTCCTTTTTTCTGTGATTTTTGGCTACACAGAATGAAATGAATGGAATTGCTGACATGACTCATAGAGTGATCACTTGCTCAATTAAGGATATACAGTAAAGAACTATTATTCATACAGCCACAAAGACAGAGCTCTACGGACACATCGGAAGCATTAATACATTTTATTTCAGGTAAAACCACATTGAACAACATTTACAGAAGGACATTACATCTTCCATAATAACATTACATACAGGTTGTAGCAAATAACGCAACAGCTATTCTACTGTGTACTATATTGTTTCACTGTGGGAAACCATGTGTGTTTCAGTGCAGCGTACGAAAGACAATAAGATGAAGGACGATGAGAGAAACAGAGATTCATTGTTGAGCACAGCGAGGAAGCAAGTTGGATCAAACCTGTGTGTTTCCTTCCGATGTCACAATAAACAATGCTGAAAATAGATGCCTCATATGTTTATTCATATAGGATATTTATTTAATAGCATTAAGGGAAGAGAGGAAGCATCACTATTTTACCTCAAAGGAGGTTTTCCATATTTCCCTTTGACATGTTTATTGAAATCATGCCTAATTTCTCTTCTACGTGAACTTTATTGAAAGACATGAAGAACATTCAAGCTTGAAGAGATCTTCTTTTCTACAAGGCCGAAGTCCCAGAAAGTGTTGAGGGGCAAACAAAGCGATGTGAGCCACGCCGAAAGTATGCAAGGAGAAACGTGCCGAAAATAATGATCCAGCTGCCAATACGGTCTGCATCCCTAAAGCACAAGACACGGGGCAATGTGCACACAGCTCCGTGTATTAAACCGCTTCTGTCACGCCGCTTTCTGCCGTTACCCACCCGTCAGCCACAACCACAGCCTGGGGATGTGCAGCGCTTCAATCTGTGCTGAAGGGCTGGATTCCTTTGCATCGGGCGAAAAGAGGTCACATATACTGTATGTACAGTTCAAGCCCTCATATAGCTAAGTGCATAAGAGGAGCCGTATGGGCTGCAACGTAGAGCAAAGCGTCTTTCTTTAAAGTGCAACACTATTGGGGAGAGTCGAGCCACAATGACTTATGTTGCCTCTGGTTGGAAAAACCGGATTGGAACACAGAATTAGAGTTCTGTGACTAATTCCCTCTGTACTATAAAGCGTAGGTTCAGATATTCCACTTACATTCATAAAGTAGAGGAACATGTGTGGCTTGCTGCTCTGCTCCGTACATCATTGGTGTAAGGTGAGAGAGGCGCTTCACTCTGAGCTGGTTCCAACGTCAGCGCCACACAGAGCTGCTGCTGCACGGTGGCAAAACGTCACCAATACACCATCAAACCAGCGGTATTCAAATTCATGTATGGAAATCGGTACTGGGAGGAAGGAGGAGGTACCAGAACACCTCTAATCTATCCTCACATTGTGATACGAAAACAAATCCAGTCTTTATTCTGAGCAAAAATGTACTCGGCCAATATGCAAATTCAGCACTCGAGCCGTTTCTAATCACACGTAACGCACATGCAACTGAAATTGTTTTACATGTGTTTCTATCCATTACTTGTCCGCTAATTATTGGCTCATCTGGTGTTATTCATTTCAACCTCAATTTCATCTCTTCAAGCTTGAATGATGTTAATTCACCTGCTGCATGTTCCATATCCTTTTTGCACTAAATTGTCTGCTTGTTTTCTGAGACTCTTCCATCAAACCTTTTTTCCACAATGTGTTTTCATGCGAGTCTCCACGGTTTCATCCGAGCTGTTTTTTTACCAGCAATGATGGTTTTTTGGTTGAAATACAGCTGCCCTCTTTGACCTCCAGCACCGAGCCACCCGGCCGTGTCACCTGACACGTGTTGGTCCAGTAGTGCTTTTCAATGAAGCTCTTTAGAAAAATATTGGTAATCAAAGTACCACACACTGCCTGGACGGACCCTCTCAACATGGCTAACTAAATAATATCAGCTACAGCTGAGCTTTAGTGGGCATTTTGACAATTTATTAATATCTGTGGATGGCCGGGATGGAACGGAATGATGTATTAACAGAGATAAAAAATGACATTCTGTGAAATCAAAGAGCAAACACCAGCTGGAGGCGCTGCAGGGATTTGCTGTACTGTAGCAGATAGGTGCAGGCAAGGTCAACGTTATGGATATGACTGTGTGACAAGTATCCAGCTGCCACTCCTCCGTGCCGCCCCATTTGGAGCCGCATCAACAGTTCAGGGCCGATATTATTGTTTCAGTTGATTTCAAACTGAATGATGAAGAGGAAGCCTTGGTATTGATGGTACTTCACAGTCATCACCATACGTCATATATTTTCACACTAAACATCAAAAAGAAGGACAGTATAAACTCATTTGCAGATGATACAACGTCATATGTTAGTCATAAAAAGTTGTGAAACATTTAGAAGGTGTAAGATATGGAGGGCAAAAGGGAAGTCTCCCCATAAGAGCGTGAGTCAAACACACACACACACACACACACACACACACACACACACACACACTGAAAAGCGTTTTCTGATTTGTCCGATATGAAACGCTTCACCTTAATGTTAACAATTGATTGATAAACTATTGACATAGATCATCTGTTTCTAATGAAATATTGCAGATCTGTTAATCGTTATTAGATAGAAGTCAAGGGGAGGATTGTCGTGGGCTGGAACAAACAAAAGGTCACACAACCTTGGTGTTTAACGTTTGTACATTAGCTCGTTTGCATGGATGGAAGCCCGATGCGTAGCTATTGCCCGTGATTAATACGTTCACACCAGCACACACACGCCTCTCTGTCAGACACTGACAGCGGTTGTCAGCTATGTGGCCCCGTTAGCATCATCAATCATCACGAGATCACCGATGTTTGAAAGGCTTGGATGTGTCATTACGATGCGTCTTCTGAGAGTCGTAACGCGGCACACGACTGGAGAGATGAACAGAATCCCTGCTGCTACAAGCAGAGTGCGATGAAGCACAACATGCAAACCATTAACTGTATCCATCATAGAAACCATGCGCATCATGGTGTGTGCACAGAAAACAAAAGCCCATCAGCTGTAGCCCAAATAGTTCTACTGTTCTACAGAATCCCCGGACCTTTGGCGTTGATGACGGGTTGTTGCCTCTTACGCTACCTGCCAATCTGGGGCTGTTAGATAAATGACTGTTTACTGAGGGAAGGGAAGCAGCTCTGGTTTTGGCTATTTGTGAATTTTGCAACTTTCTGGACGTAATGGTTTCAATAAAGTCCATCGAAGCGTTATTACAGGAAAGATAATTGACCTGAAACATTACCCATTGACCTACAGATTTCTCTCTCCAAATGTAAGCCTATGGGAAGGTTCCACTACGTAATATTATCTTCATAACCACACGCTCATCCTGGGACCGTCCCAATAACTGACACGTCCCGTCATTAAAATATGAGTTCATCCCTCAGCAGAGTTCTACTTCCTAAATAGCATCAACCATCCTCACGTGCCAAAGAACCGAGGACCTGCAACATGGCGGCAGAGGGATGTGTTGCACCACCTGAAAGCCCTCCATTATTATTATTACTATTGTGATTATTACTATTATTATAATAATGTCTTTGGTTCCACGAACCTGGTAATGAAGTTGAAATGCAACTCTTGAGTATTCTTCTTTAGTCCAGCGACCCAATAGTTGTTTTCCAGCAGAACTTAAACACATGTCTCCTCTTATGTATTGGTGGCGTTTTGGCATGAGCCAAATAGTGGTGGGAAGATGAAGCGATATTAAATCCATTATATAGTTTCTAGATGAGTATATCATACATACAAATATACATTCTTAAATAGGAGCCAAGTTACAAACACAAACACAATATGTACCAATAGTTAAGTCCTTTTGTTTATACTGTGATAACAACCTTATAAAAGTAAACAAAATCGGATTTGCAAATAATAGCCTGAAATCTTCATTCATAATGGACACATGCATTCATATCAATACCTACCTACGCCTCTTTCTCATGCACACAGCACACACAAACACACACTCACGCATGTTGTGAAGATAATAAATAAAGAACAGGGGCTTTTCCGTTGGTCTGGATCCTCCATTTCTTGTCTTCATTTTGTCTTTTTTACAACAGTCACCTGAAACACAGATATACAAACACACAATCTGTCAGCGACACAGTTCAGTGACGTTGTAGAAAAACACAGGCCACATTTCATGTTACCGTCAATAGACCCACAAGTGTGACCGTTGATGTTAACCACAGGCGCTCAGCCATCTTCACCCTGCTGTTGAGACCCGTCACGTGTAACACTACCATACCCATACATGCTTTCTAGACCTGGGCACTAAAATCTTCTACTACAGGGGTCTTCAACGTTTATTAGGCCAAGGCCCCCCAAACGGATGGCGAGATGGAGCAGGGACCCCCCATTCTACGGAGTTTGGTTTTTGTAGCTTGGCGCTCTTTAGACGTGAGCATGAATGGATGTGATTGGCTGGTGCCTGTGATGTCGTATCAGCATGATGAGTGAACCGGTCACTGGGTTATTTTGGTCACCTTAAAGGTATCAAATTCCGATTCCAAACCCTATTTGGTAGCATCACGCCAATGAATGTTGGAGAGGAAGACCAACACCCTAAGCCTGCCACCATGGAAGTGCCAAATGGATTAAATGTTTACCAAAAGCAGAAAGGTAAAAAACAAAACAATAACCTGCACAATTAAAACCAAAGGTCTCAACAAATGTGACATTTGTCTCCATAAAAGCTCAACATCCCGATTTAGGTCTTTCACAAGCATCCGCATGCTTTGGTTGGTCCAAAATGAATTCAAGGGACCATTGGAGCGCTGGACAATTTAAATGATACTTATTAATTCATATATACTTATATTTTGGAAGGCATTTAAAAGTCGTGGTATTTTCGGGCTGCCCTGATGACAGTGGATCAGTGGTTTACAAATATCTATCCTAGAATAACTAAAGGTTTCACAGCGTTTTGCATGAGACACAGGTCATCTATCAGGTCGATGGAGCACTAAAACTCTTCCTTCACGCTCATTAAATACCACGACTTGCTCAGTGGCCAAAATATTGAGACTCTACATCTCGCCTACCAACAGTTTTGCGAGTACTAACGACTTATTGGACCAAGCAATGACATAAAAATATGTGTCAGAACGTTTACTTTCCATCTTCCAATGAACAGCAGTCAGCTGGTGTGTTTGTTTGACCCACCCGCTCTGAACACACTACCGTGCTCTGCTGTTTGGGTCACACACACATGACCAAGCTGCTACCATCCAACCCTCCATCAGGCAACGAGCGATCTGATTTACTAAAAACAGCTGCAGGCTTCCGCTCTCTGGGGGTCAAAGAGCAGCGGGACGTCGGGTTGGGACACCGAGTGTGTGTGTGTGTGTGTGTCACAGGACGCGGCTTGGGAGGCAGATGGAGCTGGTGGGTGTGGGAGATTTAGCAGGCGTGGCCAGCTGCTGGCTGTCCTCTAATAGAGCCCCCACCCCCCAAAAAGATAAACCCTTAAACGCCTCTGCGTTTGGAAAGACCCAACGATAGGAAGAGGACCGGATGGCAGAGGCAGCAACTACGCTGCAGCCTTTTCCAACATGAAAAGCAATAATTCTGGATAAAAATGTCCTCAACAAACACACAGGGGCAACGTTACATTCTGCACACTGGATCTGAAAGTTGCCTTTTGATGAGGTCCACGCGGCCTGTCTACGTGTTTCATTGTGTAATGGGAATAGTGAAGAGCTGCAGGCCGGGCTGCGTGCACTCGCATGGGTGCGAGTTGGGCGCTGTAATGAAGGTAAACTCTGCATGCTGACCCGAGGACGTGACAGTTCATGGCGTGTCACATGAGCGGACATCTGACTGATGTGTCCTTCCGCAGCCAAACACGCATTTCTGCCCATATCAAAGCCCCAAATAACATAGTCCCTGAGCCTCCACCTCTGCTCTCCTGCTGCTCGTACCGTCTTCTATCATCCGTTTTGTCTTCAGTCCTCGGTACAAAACGTTCTCCCTCATTTCTGAACTGCACACACACTCTGCATTTACATGCACTTGGGTAACGTGGACATTGTCTACTTTGTGCCGGAACTTGATTCCTGAAAAATGGGTTTCTCAAACGGGCTTAACTGGAGCAGACTGACGGACCCACGCCCCCCCCCCCCATTAGCAGATGACCCAGAGGTCGTGACACCTGACCCTTCCCCTGGAAGAAGCTGAGAAGGTGCTTAATAAGCTGCTTCATGACGTGGATGCATGTGAGTGTGTGTTGCAGTTGAGAGGGGGAGGAGCCTGACTCGGTAGGACTACTACATGGTGGTGAATTTAGAAGTCATTTACTTGAAGATATTTTTTGGACTTTAACGTTTAAAGGAATGCAGTCTGTGGCCAAGTCCATGTTGAGCTGCCACATGCACAACCAACAGTCCTCGGCCTCTACAGCGCCCTGAGAACTTACTCAGCCGCCATCAACAGCACAGGGCTTCACCACGGCTCGCCTGCCACAAGCAAGACCCCAGTCACAGAGAAACATGTTAAAACGACAATTGTTGATAATAGATTCACTCAAAAGGGAAATAACCCAGCTGGCCCTGGTTTCTGCATCTGAATGAACTATTAGAAGCTCTGTAGTGCGATAGAGACGTTGTCCTGTATCGGTGGTGCAGAGACAAATGAGAGAATCTGCCATTGAGAACATTTAACCCGTTTGAGTCAAACTCTGGTGCATTCGTTTAGGTGTGAACCAAAAGAACCGGTCCAAGGCCGCTGTCCAAAGGTCGTTTGCAGAGCAAACCCAGATTGTGTTTGAGTACATTGAAAACATATTAAAACATTATGGGCAAAAGGTCAATTGAAGAAGGTAAACATGAGTGGGGGGGGCCCTCAGAGAACGGAAAGATGCGAGGACCAAACACGGCCACAGTAAGCACGATGAACTGGTGCTGTGCACAAACGACTGAACCAAAGGAGACTCGTGCCATTGATTTCCCTGATGTCCATGTGATTGGAATGGAATGATCTGGAGGGTTTGGGTGTGTGGAGGAGCAGCCGGGGCAGCAGCTTCCCCCCCCGAGGCTCCAGCTGGGAAAGTTGTTCTAACTTCATGCTCAACATCTGAGCGGCCCGCCAACACGGACGTGAACTAAAACGAGCTCCATGATTCTGAACGGCTTCTTCCACGGCTGACTGATATATTGTTTTTAAGGTTAAAGATGTCCAATTAGGTCAAATAACTAAGAATGATTTTTATGTTTTTCGTGGCCGACCAAGAACTACTGGCATGGAAGAGGACAGGAATGAGGCGCCACAGTCTGCAGGCCGGCCGGCTCTCTGACGCAAAGTCCTCCTTCTCTGTTCGTTTGCAGCAGTTCTCTCGGCCTGTAAATGAAAATGAGTCTCTAAAGAAAAAAAGGGACACGATTCTCAAGACACACACACACACACACACACACACACACACACACACACACACACACACACACACACACACACACACACACACACACCATTCTGTTCGTTATACTGCAGAGTTTTCCATTAACAACAAACAAAATCACCTCCCTGCTCTTGCCCTCAATCCACTGAGAGTTGGGTTTCGTAGAGCAGGTGCAGCTTATGGTGCACACGTCCTGCATGCATTAAAGAGTCCGAGTTCATATTTCAGCTCATCTGCATTGACGTCTGCAATTCTCTGCATCAGTGACCTTTTCTATTGTCGTTATGTTTAGTCTTAACGAGGTAATTTTCATGAAATCTGAGGCATTGTTGTTTCTGTTGGTGTGGACCACAGTTCACAGCTCCCATCGGTTGTCATCTGATGATCAATCCCATCTTCTCTCCACTCCAACCAGAGTCTCACCTCCAAAGCTGCTACGCACTGTAAACAACGAGCCACCTAGGAAACAGGAAGTGGTGAGCCTCGTTTTCTGCTGGCTGCAGTTGAGACGCAGGAACATCGCCCCTTTCCCCCACCTGACCATTTGCTGAAACAGCCTCTGCAGCAGAAGACGCTTCTGGGGCGAAGGCGGACCTCCGGAGAGGTGACACTCAGCACTCAGTTGACGTCCAAAATCCTGCCATTTTAAATCTTCTGGTTGGACTGATTCTTTGTACGAAGAGTAGCCGTGAATGAACTGACCCTGAGAGGCCGTGAAGCAGTACGAGGGTTTAAAACCTTGTTTTAGAACTATGGCCATGGTCCAAGATCTCAGTGACACACCAAAGCCATCCTTTAAAGTTGAGCTATTTCCACGAGGCCACAGGCTTCACGACCTTCTGATTGTAAAAGCTCAACGGTCATGGGAAATGGGTGAAAGCCGTCAGTAGAATGTTTCTTTATCAGTCCCTGACCTAACCTTTTTGGAGAGAAAATGAAGAAAACCCGTTTGTGATTTTCCCTTGAAGCCTGAGCATGGATGTAGTGTTCTGCTGTGTGGGGCCGTGGCCAGAAGTAACGAGTGTCTATCCACGGTAACAGAACGCCTTCTTCCACAAAGCTGCAAACACAGCCAGCTTCCCATTCTATAAAGCCTTGTTTGGGCTTTTCTTGTGTGGAGCCGGGCTGACTTCCCTCTTTCTGGGGTTTATGAAAGGAGGGTGGAGGACAGGGATTGAAGGAGGAGAGAACCAGAGTGTAACAGGGACAGACTTAAACAAAAAGGATGAAGTAACTAAAGGGGCACATACAGTAAACTGTTTGACTGATCAGACTCAATCAATTGGCCTGGATCAATGGACGGGTCATTAATTCATACATAGCGTGATAAAATCTTCCCTGCTGGTGATGAAGCCATGGGATTTGCTTTTACAATTGGTTTCCTCGAACTACAAAACCATTGAAAACCAGCCAATGCGTCGTTGCATCGTGTCCACCGTCACTGGATAATTAACTCCTGCTATGGACGCTACGCAATCACATCCAATTATAATGCGGTTTCAAACTAATATGAGCTACTCGCAGTCCGAGTTTGGATAATTCAAACAATATTTGTTGGATTTTAAGGATATAGCTGGGGCTGATTGTGTATTTGGATGAGGAAAAAGAAAAAAGCACTTTGAAAACTTGATCACAAGTTAGTGTGTCTCCTTTCAGGGCAGTTAGACTG